CCCATCCACCGTCCATGCGGGCCAGGCGCACGCCCTCCGACTTCCCACGGGGAACCTCAGTCTCTCAATTCTGGAAGGTCGAAGCCCCACGAAGGAGAGAAGAGGAGGGCACAGTGGCACCCGCCCCAGGCCCAGGGGGGGCTGCGGGCCTGGGGCCCTGCCGGCCTGAGGTCCTGCGGTCCTGAGGTGCTGGGGTCCTACAGTCCTGAGGTCCTGCGGTGCTGGGGTCCTACAGTCTTGGGGGCCTGCGGTGCTGGGGTCCTGCGGTCCTGAGGCCCTGCGGTGCTGGGGTCCTGAGGTCCTGGGGCTCTGGGGGCCTGCGGTGCTGGGGTCCTGCGGTCCTGGGGGCCTGCGGTGCTGGGGTCCTGAGGTCCTGCAGTCCTGGGGGCCTGCGGTGCTGGGGTCCTGCGGTGCTGGGGTCCTGAGGTCCTGGGGCTCTGGGGGCCTGCGGTGCTGGGGCTCTGGGGTCCTGCGGTGCCGGGGTCCTGGGGCTCTGGGGGCCTGCGGTGCTGGGGCTCTGGGGTCCTGCGGTGCCGGGGTCCTGGGGCTCTGGGGGCCTGCGGTGCTGGGGTCCTGCAGGCCTGGGGGCCTGCGGTGCTGAGGTCCTGCGGTCCTGTGGCTCAGTCCTGCCACAGAGCTCTTAACAGAACTTGGGGTTTGGAGGAGAGCGGAGGAGCTTGACCAGCTATAATGCCAGGGCCAGCTGTCTACCATAGCAGGTCTTGGGGACTCTCCAAACCCAAAGGACCTAGAGTAGAACCGTGGACCCCAGAAACACCCATGGGTCCTCCTGACTCCCAGACCAGGCTCCCAAGACCAGGCAGCCGTCTCTGAGGCCTCTGCTGGAGGACTGGCCCTGAGGGTCTGGTGGGGGGTGGGGGGGCATACTCAACATTCCATTTCCTTTGTTTGAGAGGACAACTGCCAGTCCTGCTTGAGGGCCACTGTGAGCCAGGGGGCATGGTGCCATGCTTCCAGGGGGCAGCCCTCTCCCAAAAGCAGATGCCCTGGGGGCAGGACATGGCACAGGGTGCCCACAGCATCTCAAAAGGCCCACAGCCGCTCACAGGTGGCTCGAAGGAGGCTGGCTGAAACAGCCGCCAATCTCATCAGTGATTCAGGGGAGCAGGGGTTGTAATGCAAGCCTGGGCTTCACACAGAAGGCTGCTCCCTCCAACAGCTGAGGATCATCTGACCACCCAAGGGACACTGAGCCCCAAGCTCAGGCTCAAAGAAGCCTTAAGAAGATAAAGGACAGTCCTTAAAAAATTTGCCTCTGGCAATACACTTGTGCTCAGACTGGCGCCTTGCTTCTCCTGGACTCACCAGCACAGCCCCCGTAAGTCTGTCTTGGAGGAAGGGAGGCTCCCGGCTCTGCCAAGTTCCTTAGCTCTGATCACCAAACAACCTCAAAGCTGAGCAGGTTTTCCCAGGCCCTGGCAGTCCCCACCCCCCATTCCTATGCTCTTGAGAGATCCTCATCTACAGCTAGGCTGTTTCTGGAATAGGTCCTGGCCCTCTTGACCACAGGCCTTGGGGCTCCGTCGGTGGACATCATGCTGGACCTGGGCTGGCACATAGCTTGGGTTGGGAGCAGGTTTCAATGCTCCTGGTAGAACTCTGGCCAAGTGTTTTTCCTGAGCAGCAAGTTTTAGGATGCAGCTCCCTGCCACCTGTCATCCACACTGCCAGCTCTCAGGCACAAGCCAGCCCCCAAGCTCCATGACTGACAGCAAGCCAAGACCAAGCCTGCCTCGGGGCCTCAAAGGCAAATTGAGTCTCATAGGGGAAACCTGCCGGTGCCCCTCTGCATCCCAGATACCATCCAGAACAGTCGGCACAGAAGACCCTCACTCCAGACACAATGGAAGTCCCATCTTTTATACCTCCCCCACCAGTCAGAGTGCCCAGGAAGCAGACTGCACAGAGGGAGTGATCTCAGGGCAGACTCAACACACAGAAGCACAAGAGACATCAGGGGAAAGCTGGTGTGATGGAAGCCACCCCCAGAAAGGACCGCCGAGCAGAGACCCAGCCGTGCTCAGGCCGTAACCACAGCTGAGATCAACTACTTGCCAGGCGCCACCTCTCCTGGCCCTGTGTGCACCAAGCCTGCCCACTCTACCCCTTCATTTCCAGAATGCAGCTCCTGCCGCATTCTCTCTGAAGGGCACCTGCGGTTGTGAGGGTGCCAGCAATTCTGAGATGCCTTCTGTACCTCCTCCCTTGCTAGAAGGTGCCATCCTGGTTGGCCACTGCCGTGTGCGAACTGATCTGCGAGAAGGTGGCCTCCCGAGGTGCTGGCCCTCGGCACCAAGGTCAACGGCCAGTACTCGCACACAACTCTGAACTTGCTGTCCATGTCTGTGTACACACTAACAGGGAAGAGTTCATTGTGAGATAAACCCCTCTGCTGGACTGTGCCTGCCCACCCCCGGTCTACAGCAGCATCAAGAACTTTATTTTTATTTTTTTTATTTTTTGGGGGGGTCCGGTCGTGGGGCCTGAACTCTGGGCCTGGGCACTGTCCCTCAGCTCTTCAGCTCAAGGCTAGCGCTCTACCACTTGAGCCACAGCACCACCTCTGGCTTTTTTCTTTTTGCTTATGTGGTGCTGAGGAATGGAACCCAGGGCCTCAGGCATGCAAGGCAAGCGCTCTACCACTGAGCCACCTTCCCAGCCCCAGCCCCAGGAACTTTAATACCTGGGCCCAAGGTACCGCAGGTACACAATGAAGGAGCCAACAAGAGGGTAACCCTTTTAACCCATGTTCTTTTACACTGTAGATACAGCTTTGACTCTCTCCTTAAATACCAAGCAGGAGCCTCCTGAGCAGCCCTTACATGCAGGGCTGTCTGGGACCCCATAGCTCAATTCCTGTAACCAGGAACGGACTGAATTTGGCAGGCAGGAGAGAACAGTGCCCCAGGATTAGGGGTCTGAGTTGGAGCGGCCAGGTGGAGCATCGAGAAGGCAGGAGTGGGGAGACGGTCCCACGCCTCACACATTCTGGCTATGAAGTCCGGGAGGCCGCGCCCTGCCCAGCGGGCCCAGGATGCCGCGTTGGCTGGGGGTGGTCCTGCAGGATGTCACGGTCCAGCATCACTGTGCCCAGCAGCCCACTGCGGAAGGCTCGGAGGAAGTCGCGGGCGGCTGCAGAGTAGTTGGGCTGAACGACATTCACGTCACCTGGGACAGAAGGTCTGGTGAGGAAGGGAGCTCCCTGCAGGACAGCCTAGCCCTGCACCAGTGACGCCTGGGGCAGGGTACCTTCACACGGGGGCTCCTTCCACTCTAGAAAGACAACCACCACAGTTCCCATGCATGTCTCCTTCCTGTCCTCCCTCAAGGACAGCCCAGTGAGGGCCTTAGCCCCACTCACCCGTGCCTGTGAGCACCTTCACCTTCCGCGTCTTTCCCAGCCGCACAGCCACACTCTTCAGCACACGCTCAATGTCGTCACAGGCACTGCCCAGGCTGTAGTGCTGCACATACCTGCACAGCCCACAGCTCCAAGTCAGCCTTCAAGGAGGTGCTGACGGTTTCCCAGGAACTCAGTGCCCAAGGGCAAAGCTCAGGAAAGTAGACCCACCACCCAAAAAGGTAACATCTAGCCAGGCACCAGTGGCTCACATCTGTAATCCTAACTACTCAGGAGGCTGAGATTTGAGGATCACAGTTTAAAGCCAGCCTGGGCAGAAAAGTCCCAGTGAGACTCATCTCCAATTAATTACTTAAAAAATGGAAGTGGCTCAAAGTGGTAGAGTGCTAGCCTTGAGCAGAAGAGCTCAGGGATAGCACCCAGGCCCTGAGTTCAAGCCCCAGACCAACAAAAAGAAAAAAGGAAAAAAGAAAAGTAAGGACTCGATGCAGAGCCCCAATAACCAAAGTGCTCTGAGGCAGTGTCCAAGAAAAGAGGTGACCATAGGACATGAAGAGCAGGACACAGACTCCTCCCCAGAAGAGGCACAAACTTGAGCTTGCAGTCTAGATATCCATGCGCCAGGGTGACAACAGGCGAGTGGTCACAGCACACCAGCACACACAGAGATGAGGAGTCACAGACTGAGGTCACAGGAGGGGAGGGAGGAAGGGGGGAGGGGATATGTGATTCCAAAAAATGGGAAAAGAAATGTGAACCGGCCTTTCCTGGAGACTTTACAGACAAGACAGCAGCATTTGCGCAGAGAGGATGAACCTGAGTTAGCACATGACACAACAGCAGGCTAAAGGAAGACCAGGCACACCAAGTACGAAGACGTGGAAAAACCCAAGCTGTCATTCTGTGCTGGGTGGTCCATGACGCTCAGCAGTTCCAAGAGAAGTCAAAATGCACATCTACCATGTTCCTGGCCATGACTCTACTCTGCTTGGTTTTTCCCAAGAGCAGAAACTTACATTCCATAAAGATTTGACCATTACGGTTGCTAGCGCTTTATCTGTACCAACCATAACTGCAAATGCCCCCAGGCCATCCAGATAAACCAAGTGCAGGATATCTAAGCTATCAGCCATGAGCTCAGTCATAAAAGGAAGTGAGCCATTAGCACACATTCGGCACTGATGTATCTCAGAACACTCTTGCCCAATGAGGAAAGCTGAGTAAGAGGCAGGCAACCCATATGCCTCCATTTATAGGAAATCCTGGAAAATGTAAGTTACCTATGGAAGAGAGCAGATGGCAGGGTGGGCAAGCACAGAAAGCCCAGAATTGGTGACGGAATGCCCAGCTTTTTTCTGTTTAAAGTGGATTCTTTTTTTATGCATTTGTATTGTTACTGTAAAGGAGAGGGGTTACAGTCAGGTAAGTCAGATAGAGAGCACATTTCGTTTTGAACAATGTCGCCCTTCCCTTTTGTAATGGCTCTTCCGTTGAGCCATCTTCTTGTGTGAGCAGCTCAGATGCACTCGTGCCCAATGTGCAGATTATGTGCCATCTTACTGTCAGCATCTCACTGCTGTCTCGCAAAAACTCACACGGCTCCGCAGTGGCTGTCACTCACCTCAGCACTCCATGCTGGTTGAGAGTGTAGAGGAGGTAGTCGGCCATGGTCTCTTCCCCAACCAGGTGGTCCAACACTGTTCCTGAAAGACAAGCAGTGTCTATGCCCCTCGGGCTCTGCCTGAAGACCTGCGTGGCCCCGGCCCCCCACTGGCCTGACCTCACTGGACACCTGTCACAGGAATGAATGGGGCCACACACGTGTGCCACGAGCCGCACTAAGAGAACAGGCAGGTCAGACATAGCAGTAACATCCTGGTCTCAGGGGAGCCAGGGTCAGAAAGAGAACTCCAAAGGTGGGGTGGAGGGGTACTCACCACACAGGGCCAGCTTCAGGCCCGTTTCCAGGCTCTCAATCCGAGGGTTCAACACCCCAGGGGTGTCCAGCAGGAACATCAGCGGTCGCTCACACACCTGCTCAGGCAGAGGATGGAGTAGGTTACAGAGCCTCTAGCCAGCCATCTTTGGAGACCCTAAGGTTCCTAGATCAAACCCAGCCCCGTGGGTCATCCTTGTTACAAAGCACTACAACCTCCATAGGGTTTGATTCACACTAAATTTGGAGTAAAAAGTAAGAGAGAACACAAGGAAAAGTGTAAGAAGTGGTCTCTCTTAGCTCTGCCCTAACCATTCCCCACAGGTTTGCCGAGGACAGAGCAGTACCAGGCAGTGGAAGTGGAAGGAAGGGAAGAAGGCCAGAAGCAAAGCTGCCTTGGCAGTGCCAGGCTGGGCAGCGCCTGCACAGCTGTCAAAGACCCACCTGGATTCTTGATGTCACAGCTCTGGTGATTCCAGGCTCACCTCCCACCCGAGCAGCTCTGCCTGTAACAGAAAGAGGCTGTCAGATGTTTCACAGTAGTTCAGAATACACAACAACTCATCCCGTGTTTGGCCCCAAACAGCTCACAACCAAAGAGGTTTTCAAAATCCAGGCACAAGCCAGAGGCAGGGGGCTGATGCCTGTAATCCTAGCTTCTCAGGAGGCTGAGAGCTAAGAATCACAGTTCAAAGCAAATCTGGGCAAGAAAGTCGGTGTGATTTTTATCTACAATTAGCTGTCAACAAGCCAGAAATGGAATTATGACTCATGTGGTAGAGCACTAGACTTGAGCAAAAAAAGCACAAGGACAGCACCCAGGCCCTGAATTTAAGCCCCAGAACCAGCATAAAAACATAATGGCTCAGCCGGGTGCTGGTGGCTCACGCCTGTAATTCTAGCTACTCAGGAGGCTGAGATCTG